TTCTTTCTTTGAATAGGATTAGAGAGTATCGGGCAAAGAGCCAGCGTCACAACCTCTTTTCTGCACGCCCTTCTACAGAGAACACAGAGATCCTACCCGTTCGAGATATAACCACAGTCGAAGGGGATGTGTCGAAGTCTTTGCAGTGAGCGGAGGGAAACTGGCTGGATACGGGGCTTATTTGAGTCTGTTTTCATCCTATACTGATGATTCATACCAGTGATACCAGTGATAGCAGCTGGTGGACAGTTGCAGACCACGTACTTATAGTAGTAGGGGAACAGCGAGTACTGCATCACAAAAATTGGAAAGGTGTTCCAAACTTCCCGCACGCAAACGTCACACACAATGTTTGGGTCTACCAAGCGATAACCGACAGCTTGTCGTCTGACATTGACGCACCTGCCCGCGACGGCACGCCTCGGAAAACTCCACAAATGTTTTCATCCCTCGAGCCTTGCAAGTAACCTCGTGTGGTGGGTCCAAAGAGCAGAAACGTGGGCGGTCCTCTTCGTCGTCGATCTCTTCCTCTCCATCCATGATGTCGGTCGGACTGGGCATCGCCACAACAGCTCCTTCCTCCCTCCTCTCTTCGTTTTGTCAACACACCGTGGGGGTTGCAGTCGAGGTTACCCACTGCCCACACTTGTGTAGCTTGCGCGTCAAGTTGTGCCAAGGGGAAAAGTTCAATTGTTCCCAAGCGGCGACCCGGCGGTCCAGACTACACAACGATTGCACCGCATGTTTCGCGGCGCAACTCCTGCCGCTTGCCGTTGCGCTGACGAAAATAAACAATCTACAACATGAAATTTTGTTGATCTACACATGAGCACGGGCAGCGCGTGTCCGGAAAGGGAGAGCTTGGTGGGTTTGGGGAAAACTGCAAAGTTCTCCTAGTGGTGATACCCGGTCGTTGATTTTGCAACTTAGTATGCATATCTGCAACCTCATTTGTTTCATCGCGAGCATCTTGTTGGCGTTGCTGGCGCGCCTCAGCAATGCTCAGCAACTCATCGAGGTGAGACGTCCAAAAAATGCGCTTCGACGTTTTGCAAGCGTTGGTTTCAAGGGCACTTGTCCTGCCTTCGAGCTGGTTGATCGACCCCTCTTTTCCCTGTGTTGTACGATGGGTTCCCATCAGGTCGGTTCATGGGCCGATGACATCGATCTCGGTTCACAAAATGCGACCATGTTGGCGGTTGCCGAAGAATACTGCGGGCCAACTGCAGCCGACATCACAACCTGCAACCTACGGACAGCTTTCTTCTATGCGTCTTCATTGGATGGGAGCGACGTGGAAATCTTCGTCAACACCACGCAGCACGAATTGAAAATGGCACAAAGTGCATCCATCCAGGTTTCGGGGTAGGTTGTCGTCGGCCACCACATTGTACAGTACGTAATTGTACCGTACGTACTGCTGTCTACAACCCTTTCCCGCAGGAGTGGGGTAATAGAGAGCACCGCGGCAAGGGGTGATGCAAGAACATGGCAAAAGCGAGGAAAAACAGATATTGTTTGCATACCACATATTGAAAGACTACACATTTTAGTTAGGGAGGAGTAAGGAGCCGTGGGGTCGGCTCGATACCTGCGGTAGTCTGTATCTGCGATGCTGTATGTGATGGAGACTTCCTCAGAACTCCACACATGCATCCGTACCCGGGATACATTGAGCGGCTCTTCAAGGCTGTGCGTCCGCTCCCCGCTGCTGTCAAATGCTTCATCAACGAACTTCAGCGGCACACACACAAGTTTTGTGTTTTCAACAGCATTGAGGCTGACGTCTTTTCATGGGTCAGCCGTTTAGCCCGGTCAATGCTACAGCAATAGTATAGATACACGCCGTGCCACACGCAATGCTATGTAATCAGTACTGTCAAACGATCGGCACCTAACAGCACTGCCGCCGGAAAAAAATGAACAGTAGTCAGGATTAGAATGCTGTAAATAGAACCATCGGGCAGCACGGTGTGAAAAGGTGGAAAGTGGCAGGAGCACAGCAGTTTCATCAGAGCCAGCAGGCGTTCTCTCGCATGGACCGTTTGCCAACATCTCAGTTTCCCCTTGTTTTCCTTGCTGGAGGCGGCGTCAGTTATTTTGCTCCCCTTATCCCCCGCCCTACTGCTGTTGCCCAGCGAAATACGTATCGTTCTGAGTCCAGCATGGCCATTGATTGCGTCAAGAACACTAATCGCCTCAATTACAATTGTAATCGAAATAATCTTCGAGCATATTTTGGCCTTCACGTGTATGGACTGCTCGAAGTTGCCAGCTTAACGCGTGATTCCCTGCCTCTGTCATGCAGATCGGTCAACCGGGGGGTGCTACTCTCATTTTCTGTGCTGCTGTCCGAGGGAGAATTCAATAGCAGTAGTCAGAGGCAACCCCAAGCTCCAAAAACCTCAGTGGGAACGGCGGAACGAGCAGCGATACTGGCCGCCACCTTCTTGCAATCGTCAAACTGCGCCGCTTCATTCCCTGGCCACCGTTGCTCGTGCCACTCATTTTTTTCCAGGCCATCCACACTCAAACTGGATGGAAGTGGGCATCAAATACAGGGTTTTGACGGCGACACATATTTTCGCTTGGAAGGAGACATCGAGGTCACATTTTTCAACACCACCTTTTCCAACTTCCACACATCCACTTCTGGAGAAGAGGTGCGCCTGTGGACCGAGTGACCCGGCCGAATGCCTGTTGTTCATGTAGTAGAATATGAGGTAACTCGAATACCGCAATGCATTGTTTTTGGCCAAGAGGGATCGAATCGGTCAGACAACGTCATGCTCATGATCAGTCTCACATCACCGTGTTCGTAACTGCCGGTGTGACTCCGTCCACTCGATACAAATATCGTGGCCAATAATGCATTTCCAGACTGTTTCGTAAGAGTGGTACTTAGTCGGCGGTTCGAGCCCGGCAGGTAAACAAAAAGCTATTGCTCTTAGCGGAGGGTTCGTTGGTGTATGCTATGCTTATGAGGTGCTTGTCTTGTCTTCCCCGGGCTGGTATTTGAACTTGTTCGATATACCCTCTCACCGGTCGCCACTCGGGTCGCTTGACCAACCATAGCGTGGTGGGATCTCGATAGTGTTCGGCTCACCTACCCAACCTTGGTACCCCCAACACTGCAATGCCTAACTACATCGAACGCCGGCCTGTGAAGGTCACCGCGTGTTTGTAACTAAAATTCGGGTCGTTATTATCGATTGAACTCTACCTTGAGCCGAAAGGGCATGACACCTATGCACATCGCTCCATCCAAACCCCAACATGTTGCCGTCAACCTTACAATGCTATCATGCCCACTTGTATATTTCGGGTGCGAGTGGCTGGCGTGCCTTGATCAAGAGATAAATGGCGCCGGGCACGACTGAGCTCGTTCAAAACAACGTGAAATGGAGGGCGGCGGGGTGATGTGAATATAGAGTGCATTCCGGACAGTGTTCCACCAATGACATTTTTGTCTTCCCTCTAGATACATTTCCACCTCTCCGTCGAAGCATGCACCTCGAGGTAAATCTACTCTCGTCCGAACGAGGCCAGTGCAGATGACAGCATCGAATTCTTTCTCCGAATAAGATCCGGTGTGAGAGACGTAGCATGAGTGTCGTCGGTTGATGTCTCGTACGTCTGGTGCGCCAAACAAGAGAAACACGTCTGATTGCAGGAGTCAGGGTCAAACGCTTCGGCGTCGCATGCGCCTTTCTCGACTCTTGCCGAAGTCGGCAACGTCAAGGCAAAATAAAGTGTACCATGGAAGTGGAAGAACCCTTGACGGAGCGTCACTGTCAGATCACATCATTCCATGACATTATATGGATGGCGTGCTTGTTAGAAGGGTCCATATCCACCATCGACAGTCCCAACATGAGTTTTTGCGACTCATCTCCTTTCGACTTTTTCGGCATAGGCTGGAGACCGAAGTGGCACACTTCTTGCCGCTCAAACATTTTGGATGATGCGTTGGGCACGAGCCATATAAGAAAAACTGGTTACGATTCTTGAAACGAACGGCGAGTGTGGCACCCCTTACCTTGTTAAAAAGCCACAGGAGCTCGATATTGTCTTCGTATCCGCCCATGATTCACCTGCAGTAAAGGCGACAAGGGACCCAGCTCTTAGAGCCAACGACCATTTCCAAGGCTAGAGGAATTCAAACCGAAGTACTTCGGGCTGCATTGTGGTGGACATGTTGCGCTGCCTGTCTGGCGTTCCCGGTTTGAAAGACGTACTACTATACATGGATACCGTCGTGCGCTGTCACCGCCCATTTCTGGCCTCCCACGCAGGATATCAATGGTGTGGCAATCTCAGCAGACGACCCCGCCTCGTCCTTGCACATCAACAATTGTACCTTCGAAAATTCCTACACATTCGAAATCGGCACACCGAGGGGGCTGGGAGGGGCCGTGTATGCCACGGGGTCTCTCAAGATTGAAAACTCCACATTCAGCAATAACTTTTTCTCTCTTCAGATCGACGAAAGCGGCTCTTCGTCCCAGACGGCATCCAGCACCCCATCAAGCATGGTGAGTTCGAGCTGAGGGGTGGTGATATGAGTTGTAGCTGGGATGGTTGGTGCTACGGTGGCCACACCCAACTTTGTACCTTACTAGAGCTTTCCTACATCTCTCCCTTCTATTGCTTGTAAAAGAGATGACGTGATGGATACGTGGCGCACGATTAATGTGTCATCGCTGGGGCGTGGGCAAAAGTGTTCGCGAACGCCCGCCGCCAACCGTTCGTGTGTACGGCATGAGCTCATTCAAACACGAAACAGGATCAAACACCCTTATCTGCAAACTATGTGGCAAGGAGAGCTGATTGCACCGACACAGGTTGGCGATCGTGCACAAGGTTATCAATCTCCCACGCTAGTCCAACCATAGTCTTGGAACCAATCACCGTCCGGCAGTGAGACGTTGAGCATGTTGCCACCGCCGATCGAACCGCGCCATCCCCATCGGTCTCGGCTGTGGTTGTTTTGCCTCAAGATGACCTCTGGGACCAGCAACTATTCGACGCCCGCTCCCACAGCGACGGGAACCTTTACAACGCCTACTCCGACAGCGATCGGAACCTTCACAACGCCTGATCCGACAGCGATCGGAAACTTTACTACGCCTGCTCCGACAGCGATCGGAACCTTCACAACTCCTGATCCGACAGCGATCGGAAACTCTACTACGCCTGCTCCGACAGCGATCGGAACCTTCACAACGCCTGATCCGTCAGCGATCGGAAACGTTACTACGCCTGCTCCGACAGCGATCGGAAACTTCACAATCACAACGCCTGCTCCGACAGCGATCGGAACCTTCACAACGCCTGATCCAACAGCGATCGGAAACTTTACTACGCCTGCTCCGACAGCGATCGGAACCTTCACAACTCCTGATCCGACAGCGATCGGAAACTCTACTACGCCTGCTCCGACAGCGATCGGAACCTTCACAACGCCTGATCCGTCAGCGATCGGAAACGTTACTACGCCTGCTCCGACAGCGATCGGAAACTTCACAATCACAACGCCTGCTCCGACAGCGATCGGAACCTTCACAACGCCTGATCCAACAGCGATCGGAAACTTTACTACGCCTGCTCCGACAGCGATCGGAACCTTCACAACGCCTGATCCGACAGCGATCGGAAACTCTACTACGCCTGCTCCCACATTAGCGGGAAATTTTTCAACGCCCTCGCCAACGGTGGTAGGCAATTTTTCAGCAGGAAATTCAACAACAGGAAACTTCACGTCAGGCAACGTTTCGATGGGGGGAGACGAAGCAATGGGTGTAGTATCCGTCAGTATTGCCGGCTCGGCGACGCTTGTTCAGACACCTGCTCCTGCGGGACAGGCACCGGAATCGGAATCGGTGAGCATGTTCTCTGCACGCAGATGTATCTCGTGACGTAGTGTGACGGTAGTCCTATACTCTCGACGTGAATATTGTTTCACTTTTTTATTTGTCTAGACAGCGGTTCGGGCGTGGGGTGTGGGTGCAATATTACTGATGTTCGTTAAACAGACGTGCCGCGCGTGGGCGAAACAGTCTCCTACCCATACCATTCGAAGTTGTCCGTCCTGGTTCGAAAGAGATGGTATTCGCGTAACCCTGAACTCTGTGTTGCAATGTATGTTTCGTGATGTGTTCGCCAAAAATAGCCTTGAAAAATACTTTTAGGATGAAGGCAACAACGGAAATGTCATCCCGTCTTCGTCCATCCTAACTCCCATCAGTCAAATGCCCGACAAAGACATATTCTGTGTCTGTAGGTGTTGAATGAATGTGCGGTGATGTGGTTTGAAACAAGTTGAACCGCGTCACCCCACCCCATCGTTGACTACGCCAGGAGTCGGCGGGGCATACTCGGTTCTTGCAAGAGGACAACGGGACAACCACGTGTGACATGTACACGTGCCCGGCCGGGTACTCTGCGATTTCCGACGGCACGTTTGTTTGCGTCGAGACCACTGGTTGCACCGACGACGATTGCTGTGAAGCAGGCAGGTCCAGCGCATGCAGGCTGATGTTAGATCAAATCGGTTCGCCTTCACTACGGTGGTGTGGTGTGGTCCCTCGCCGAGATTGGTGACTTTCGTGAATACGATATTCAGCGTCCAATCGAATGAAGCGATCATGAGGAGGTTCCGCGGCAGCTTGCCCTTTCGTAGAAGCGATATCCTAGAAGAACCCACAAACGTGCTGTCGAGTCGTTCCCCCATGCTTATCAACGCCGGATTCCAACACTGTCCTTCCAGCTTCAGATTGCCCGGACGGAGATTCCACTTGCGATAAATATTCGGATTCCCCTAGCGAGAATTCGACCAGCGGCTACCAACGCCGATCTGGGTCTGCGGTTTATTGGAACAATAGCGCCATGGTAAGCTTGAGCGTACATCGTGCCATTTGTATTGTTCTACCAATCGTAGAACGGCGTCAGTGCGTGGTTTTCTTCAAGATTCCTTCACAATATCATGTCCAGGTTAGGTGTGCACACGAGCCTTCTGAAGAATCTCCTTGACACTCCCCCCGCCCAATAAGAACATCGCTGTGTAGAGCTCTGCCACATGTTGTGCACCTCTACCAAGCAGATCGCCGCGGCGGTCACTCGTCATAACATGTTAACCTCGCGGACAGAGAAGCGGTCAGACATCGTACACCCGGCAGGCGGTACCGCGATGATATCTTTCTTGCGTATGTAGACATTTAGGGAAGATCGAAGTATACACCGAGGAGCGTAGCCCTGGTGCCCAAGCAAACATTGTTCAATGTGTCTAAGGCGGGTGCCGGTGTTCTCATCGTGATGAGTTCCACCTTCTTATGGATTGGTGATCTGCAGGACCCCACCAAAATGCTGAATATCACGGGCTGTCTCTTTTCGGAGAACACTATCGATGGGGGAGATGAAGGAACTGGGGAAGATGGAGAAGTGTTCGGGGGCACCGTGGTGGCAAAATGGGGAGTGGTGACTATCGACGATACCATGTTCTACAACAATAAAGGTAAACAGCAGCAGTGGATACATTTCGGTTTCCTCGACCACCCCCGCTCTGTAGATGCCGGTTTGGCCAAGATTCCCTTGTTGGTTGAACGCAGACACTACCTTCTCCGTTTAGTGGCTCAACATGAGTGCTCTACCCCACAACGCAGTACTGTACTTCCGGAACGAAAGTCGGCTCAGCATTAACCATTTTCCTATGTTAGACGGAGCATGAGAACGACGCAGAGATGAGGAGTTTTGACTGAGGTCGTTGTGTCAACAAAATGCTTCCCCTCGCTCAAACATCATTTTCCGCAATACGACGCGCTGGTTGCTGCTATCAGCGTTTTTCGGCGCAGGTCTTCTGGTCGAGGGGGCCAACCTCACGGTTACAAACACGCAGTTTAACTACAACACCGCCTCTCAGTACGGGGGAGGGATACTGCAAGTGGAGGCCGGTTTTATGGACATTCAGAATTCGATCTTTGACGGCAACGTCGCTGACTACGGCGGTGGGGCACTGGCCGTTGCCACGGCATCTCGAGCAGATAGGTTCGTCTGGAAATAATGGAGCGAGAGTTGCTTCAGCCGTGGGCTGCAAAGCTGTTTCGCGTGCTTCTGTGCATAGAATACAGATATAAAGCAGGGAGATCACGCCAGCTCTACTAGGTAGAGGCCAACGGCCGTCCTATCTATGTGAAGGATAGCCATCATTTGATTAGGGATACCTTTCTCTCTCGTTGTGAGCCCAGCCAGTCTCACGCTCTCCGCTGTCGTGAGGCCGGAACATGAAAGATGACCTAAGTATGCATACCACGCAGTGCATCTTTTGCCTTGTGTCGGGCCTTCCTTTCGACTCGACAGGTACAACCTGGACAATTGTCTGTTCATCTTCAACGTCGCCGGCAATGACGGGGGTGGAGTTCTGTACCTCCTGAGTATGGAATCGAGTGATCTCACCGGCATTGTCACTTTCACCAGGTCGGATGAGGGTAACAGTACCTCCCTTCACCCCCGCTTGTAGTGTTGTTGCGGAGGGTCCCTTGAGCCTAAACATACTGTACAGCATTTCATGGCAATGTGCGCACAGTGCCGCGACAGCGCGTTGTATTCAGGGTCAAGGTTGCCTCCTCTCGGAGGACAATATATGCCATCCAACATGATTGCCCAGGAATGTGAACACCATGTTTTTCAAGGATTAGTTCTGCTGGGGCTGTTTTACTGTAGTACATGGTGTACAAAACTTGTGCCGGCAGAAGCTCATCCATCGCGGCTGTATCTATCGTTCCCCCTTGGTCGGCGCTGTCTTACCCCATGGTGCAGTCCAATATTTGAAGAAAACAGTGCGTCGGGCAACGGCTCGATCACATCCATCGCGTGCGGAAATGTCGTGGTTGAGAGCGAGTCCACTTCGGAGTACGAAGAAGGTGAGTGTGCGAGTTCATGAAAAAACGTGTTTGCTTTCCTACCATAACAAACCTCGCTGTTTGACGGTGATACTTGGACAAATAAATTTCTTTGCCTTCCACAACACGTGACTTCTGCGTCAGCTCTAGTTCACCAATGTGTCCTTCTACGTATCGCAATGTTCATGAACGATTTTGCACTGCCTATTAAACGCATGACAGCTGAAAGCGCTTTCGTCATCCAGAACGGGTTCGAGTCCTGTTCGTCAGTTACGTTTCTCAGTACCCTGGAACCCGGCCCTGAGCTGGTGAGTAATGGTGTTCGGGCAGCAGGGATCACCAAGAAATGAATACCTTCCGAACAACAATAGTCTATGTACTTCGGTAGTGGAATCTACAATTGCATGAGGAGAGATTCATCCTTGGCTCAGATCAAAGTGTACTGGGTCCGAGAAACCTACCTAGTGAAGTTCGAGACACTTGAGCCGTATAGCAGTATCGTGAAAAAAAGCCCCCCCCGCCTTCTATGAAGGCGAAGCCGACAGCAATCATCGCACACTCTCTGAACGTTTATTTTCTGGCGACACGTACACGTTTCATCGATTGTCCTCCGTGAAGTCCGGCGCACGTTTCTCGGATACGGGTACGTCCATGTTTGTCACCTTCGCTCAAGATACTGACTACGGGGCAGTGGCCGACCTCGGGGGTTCTTTTGACTGCCCCCTGCTCCTGGATTATCCTGGGGGGAGCGATGCAGACGTTTGCACTTGGACATCAGGTGCGGGTTACCATGAAATTGATATGACTCAGGCCAACAATGTCAATGACGTATTCATCTCATCCGTATGGTTGGAATGAGCGATTTCATTTCATAGCGTGCTGCAGCGTAGATGAGCAACTAAGGGTTGTCTCGTTCCAGGCTATGTTCAATTTGGTTCCTTCCTGAAAGTATCCCTTCATGTAAAGCTACACCCCAGCCGTCACGGAAGGCCTTACTTCTGACCGTACCCTCTCGCAATACATTTTTTACCGCTGCCTTTCAGCTGCCAGTATCCAGGTGACCTTGCACTACAACGCCAGCGTGGTTCCCTCCGACGTCATTTCCACGCTGGCTAACAAGGTTGCTTTGTCGACCTCACCTGAATCCCTTAATGCCGAGTCGTCCGTCGCAATATCGCCTCCGGAGAACCCCCCTAAGCCACAGCTCGTGCCGGAAGTGTGGTACACGGCGTTGGCGCATTGCAAGGTCCGTAGTTGGATGTAGGCATATCGCAAGGAGGGCACCGGAAAAGGTTGGGGCCTAGATCATTAGTCTAGGTGGTCTAAATGAGCAACTATTGTAGGCCTAGCCGATGCAGAGTACCGTTTGCTGAAACCGTTGAAGCCAAACCGTCGAATTTGCCAGAGGCGTTTTTGTTACTGTTTGTTGGGATACCAGATCTGGAAGAGTACCCCTTGAAGTCATCATTCCCTCGGAGAATTCACGCGCAACGATAAGAACATTGGGCCGCGTAGAACAGGAGAGCCACGCAGCAGTAGGTGATTTGAGAGGGAGGGATACTAACGATGGGCCAGGTTTGTAGGCCAAGAAGTAAGATACTCTCGCCCACCCACCCTTTTCTTTCGAAAGTGAGGGAACGGAAGGGATGCAACGGATAAGGTGAATGGTAGAGTACCATCTGGAACTTCGACGTATCACGTAAAGTAGGAAGAGTTCTCCACACTCGTGGAAATCGAGGAACACGGGCTGTTATTCTTATGGGAGAGGGCGAGGTAGTAGTAGCCATGGACAGAGATTCGGTATGATAGGCGCAGAGAGCGTCTGCGGGAAACGTGTTCTCTCAGTGTGGCTTCCCTCTCTTCCCCTCGCGTTAAGGAAAACGATAACAAAAAAAGGCATTCGAAAGAAAATGATAATTCAGTGTTATTGCGACAAATGCCCTGCGTTGCCGAACTACGTGGGGGAGTGCTGGTGTCAAGAATGATCGTTCGGCGGAATCGCGCGCCTGAGGAAGGTTGTGATCTTCCCCCGTTCCGTTCGGGTATAGTCTACTCCATGTCGTAATATTTTCAAAGTCTTCCGAATGCCTACAGTGCCAATTTTTGTTTTGGCGAACCTCACGCAACCACAGCAATACTTCTCGAACGCTTTGGGCAAGCAAACGATCTAACGAGGCGTACTAATCTTGTACACCAGGACCTAGTGTTGGACGTGAGCGCCAGCACTGGAGGCGGCGGACGGGTGATGGAATCTTATCAGTGGGAATTGTATGACTGGGCCGTGGAACAAGAGTCGGATGCACCCTCTGCGGAGTTTGACTACGCCGAAGAAGCCTCGGCGGCAGGAGGGTCGAGCAAGCTTACCATCCCCGGCGCTGGTCGCAAATCAGAGAATGAGCTGACCTGGTATTTCAACATCACGGCCACCAACTGGCTTGGAGGCATTGGGTGGACGTCGGTTGAGGTGGGTGGGACTTGGTGTCCCAGTGGATGTAGGTTATAGATTGATTGAGATTCTCCACTTGCTTCCAAGAGCCTGATCGTACGTCCTCATCCCCCACCCCAACTATACATCAAGGGTTGTAATTCACGTGTCCCACCTCCTGCCACTTCCTCGTTCACGCTCTTTGAAGACACGTACCAGATCAGCTGCATGCACCCTAGACCGGGCGGCAAGAATTGAGCCGGTTGGCCATGGCGTTCGGAGTGCATGCGCTTTGCTCACCAACCGTTGATCTTGGCATGCCTCACACGTACCGAGGTTCAGGATAGGATCTGACATCTGCTTGGCAAAGGTCACGCGAACTGGGCACCCTGTTTCTGTCCACGAGCTCACGACGAAATTCATCTCTGCATTGTTTGAACGTGTTCTCTACTGAACGACTACTCAACCGATAGAATGCGAAGAACGCGTAAGTCAACAAGGGTCTCCCTTGCCCTCTCCCCCTTCCGTCCATCCATCCGTCCACAACGTTTACTTGGCGCCAACGACACAAGGTTTTGGTGTCTGCTGCGGCCGAAGACCCACCCCTCCTTTCACTTGCGGGGGGAGCTACCAGAACAGTGCTACGCGCCGCCAGTCTAGCCATCGTCGCTTACGCGGAGGTGGAGAATTGCGTTACCAACAAGACGAGTGGGCTAACGTACGAGTGGAGCGAGCTGAGGACCGGCGGTACTTTCACTTCAACCTCTACGGTCAGTTGTTAGCTCGACGCAATGACGACCAATTTCGCCAGAGTCAAGGAGCACAGGCCCTACGGTCAATGAGCGATTGTGGAGGGGCATAGCGTTGCAAGACATCCTGCACGTGGCGCACAGGCGGTCTTTCGCCACCTCACGGTCGTGACGATACGCCCCAGAATTGGTTTGGCTCACGTGTAGCACAGACCATGCTAACGAATGGAAGCAGAAGGACTCCCTTAGGAGAAACGGAAGTACGCCTTGGCGCCCCTAACCTGTGCTCTTGCATTTGCGTGCTGTTTCTTGAGGACTATAGACCGCTGTAACAACATGAACAGAGACAGCTGCAGCATCACCGACCATAACGTGCGGCATGCCCTTCTTTGTGGTGCTGTCGTTCTTAACTGCCCAGGATCCGAGTATGTTCAAGCTTCCGTCACATTCATTGGAGATCGGGGTGGAGTATGAATTTCGCGTCGACGTGACGGACAGCGTGGGCTACTCGTCGTTTGCTACCCAGGTAACGGAAACATCGTATTCAGGGAAGAGCCACTCTGTCGAACGCCTTCAACGAGCACCTTTGTCCTCGCCTTGATTCCAAGCGTGTTCTGGCGACGATCCTGCGAGGTTAAGGCCGTTGTATCGGTTGCTAGGAAGCAATCATGTTGATGTGACGCCGCATCCTAGATGACAATAGGCGAGACCGTTTATTGGTGTGTCGGTTTTGGAGGAAGTCGCGCACACGACGATTCTCGTTGTGGGGAATTTGGTGGTGGCGTCCCCTTACCAACTCTTGCCAACAACTCGACACTGACGGGCATCAGCGAGAGCGCTGGTCGCATGTTTTTCTCTGATGTTGTTGTTATCGCGGTGAACTTCAACCATGTAGCCGTAGCCTGTCCCGGTCTCGTGATAAATAATCCGGCGGGCCCATGGCAGGTCGTCACTGTGGAAAGCTCATCGCTCATCGCAGCCGTCGCCGGAGGGAATAGCACCGTCAGTGCGGGCATTGACCTTGTCCTGGACATGACTGCAACCATCGATCCAGACGAGGTAAAAATGTGCACCGTCAGCATAGAATCAGGGGTGACGATTGTGTCCTTGAACAGAGCAAAAACAAGATGTATGCTTGCATCTATGGCGTCCTGGGGTACTGAGCTGTGATTAGACTTTTGTCCTGTAAAACTTTGACGGCAACCGAACGTGCATTTGGGTGCGCGATTATTGTTGGTTGCGATCCCCATCACGCACGGCCACAGGGGAAGTGCCATCGGGTCCGACCGTGCGATTGCATCATATTGTGAGATCCGTGCCATGGTGATCAATTGCGCCGAGCCCTGCGACTCTTCTGGCTGCTGTGCATGTGTGAAGTTTGTGCAGTATCGACGAGACACCCGCGACGACGCGAACGTTTCCCTATTTTCATCGTTCGGCCGTTTGCAATATGGAACAGGAGGACGGGGTTTGCCAAGACTGCTTCTACAACGTCTCGTGCACTGAAACTCTTTCGGGCTCAGCATGCGGCCTTACCTTACCGGATGGGGAGACCAGCAATGGTGCACTCACAGTCCTGGCCGAAGAGCTTGTATCCGGGGAAACATACATGATCCAGGCCAGTGGGGAGGTGGACGATGTGAAACGTTGCTGCGCGGGACTTCAGAGCAGCTGCGTTTAGGCGTTAAGTCTGGCATAGATATATCGTGCTGAATTGAGGGATGCGCAGCATGAGTGGAGACGTGTGGAAAATTGCATCAGCTCTCATAATGCCCAGACATGCATGTGTCACCGATGGATGTCTTCTTGAATCCATAACGACAAACGAGCACAGCCTCAGATGTTTCTTTCGGTGCTCTCGTTGTCTTCGCTCTCTTGTCGTTTTCAGATTTCCAGCAGACGGTCAACTGAAACGACATGGTCCACGACATCAACGTTCTTCACGGTTGGGACAGAGGAGCCAATGCCAATCTTGTCCATCACCCCGCTTTCAGTAGAAAAGGTGGGCGAGGACACTGAAAAGCGTAGTCTCACCATATCATCTGGCGTTCCAATTGTTGTGATGTTGCGATTGACCGGGGGTAGTTGCTGCCGTTGTTGTCGCTCTTGTTGATATCGGTCCGCGCATTCCTTGAAACAAGCGAACGCAAACGATTGGAGCGATATAGCCCAAAGGGATAATGGGAGAATCCGCCCGCTATGGAGCCAGAGCCATAGACGAAACGTAGCTTGAGCCGACTCAAGACATAGCCGAGGCTGAAGCACCTGTCCATGCACAGCTCTCCCAGGATATGCATTCAATTCGGGTTTTCGTTGCCGCCCAGCTCCACCGCTTAATATCGTCACACTTTGGAGGTGGCGGAGAGGCTCCAATGTCCATTGTTCGCACGTCGTGAAATATGATAGTCCACGCACGACGAGCTTTGTTGTCGGGGCTTACCCCAGCCTCGAAACCATCCCCGCCTTCGATATCTTCGTTTGGAGCTGATCGAAGTGCTCAGGCAGCCCGAACAATCCGTGCGATGCGTATGCTTCCAGTACGAAAAAGTTATGCATTTCATGACTAGTGTTCCATGATTGCCCTTGGAGATTTCCCCGTGCACCTTAATCGTCAATCGTCGTCACCGTACAGATACGTACTTTGCTGTAGGCCATAGTCTGCCTGCTCGACGTCACTTTTGCTTTCAATTCCGACTCTTACGCCTACACAGTTTGGTCAGCCTTGGCGGTACTAACGCCTTCCGTCTACCAAAGCCAAAGCTCACTGCTAAACACAACAACGGAGGGTGTTTGCGGGCAGGTCACTACCGCACGACTTAAAGTTCTCCATCTTACCCCTATTCGTGGTGAGGGGGTGCAAGAGGCCGGGCGCAGGGCATGAAAAGGACGCTACCTCAACGGCATCGGCTTTGGGAGCTTTCACAATCCGCCATCCTGCTGTCCACATGGCACCGGCTCCCCCTACCGTTTTTTCAGACGTTTGACTGTGCTTTCCGACTTGTTGTTCAGGTGAACGCGGACACCGTGGTCGCCATCGAAGCAAAAATTACTCTGTCGGAGGACTCCAGTGCCATCGCGGAGTGGACGTTGACGGACGGTGTTCTCAACGACTTCGACGAACTCAGGCTCGCAGCCTCTTCCAGCCTCGAGTACGCGGTACGGTACAGCAATGCAGGTGGAAGCACCGGTACCTCTCCAAATACGAGTATTTCCAGAGTACAATAGTGGTCGAAACATTCCCCCTGAAGAGAATACTTTTTAAACCTACCATGACGGCGTTGTACAACGTAACTATGTCGAGCTCACGCCAGGCGTCTGGACGAATATTCGACCCTTGGCCACTTGCGCCCCCCTCTTTCGACTCAGTCTTCTGGCTCAGGCGTGCTCTCGGCCAACATGGTGTTGAGCGCCAACTCTCTGGTCCCCGGATCGAGATATACGTTTTCTCTTTCAGCCGCATACGTTTCTGGTGAACGGCGGAGGCTTCAAGAGGACAGTGGTGGTGCCTTGGCTTCAATTTCTTTACTAGTCAACACACCGCCTACAGGCGGCGTGTTTGGGGTGTCGCCTACTGAGGGTGAGCAAATACTGTAGGTGTTGCAAGGCGAAGATATCTACTTCAGCGAGATTCGTAGAAAGGTCAACACGCGATGGGTGCCTTTACCCCGGATTGCCGACAGACCGCGACGAATTGTACTACTGTAGGTTAAATGCTTTGTATCTCGGGAGTCATTCTTTCGTTGTCTAGTTTTGTAAAACACGATGCCCTGCGGGGAAGGGTGTCCGTCCTGAGACGCAAATAATGTGACGCGGTGAAACGATTGGGACACGTCTATTCGAACGGCGATGACGTACCCTCGTAGTCACAGTGAATACCTATTTCTGGCAAGTTCTGACTCATATCCTGTACCACTTTGACAGGTGTTGCTATGGCGGATGTATTTCAGCTCAACACGTACGCGTGGGAAGACGACGTAGCCGATCTTCCACTCACGTACGTGTTCGCGTACGTCAGCGGCAGTGCCGACGAGGACGATTCCTCCAGCGAAATGATTGTGCGAGCTGCGCTCGAAAGGTCCGAAGCTACCGATGTTTTCCTGCCACAGGCAAGTGAAGCTAGGAACGTGCCGAGCTTGTGCAGTACGGGGGCTCCTTGAAGTCCTGTCTGTGGTAGATGTTGCAGGGAGAGATATAGTGTGCAGTCACCGTGTAGCAACAAATGTGCTTTTCAGGATTCACGATTTTTGCCGTTGGGCTCTGCTTTCGGTGATGGCAACTGCCTCCGGATTGCACCAAACCACGGGCCAGCGAAGCTAGTGGGCGAAGCGTATCCGGCGTAGCAAGAGGTACATAGATGTTTCCTAGGATATCCCTGGCGTTCGTAAGGTAAAATAGTACCCGACGTTCCATCACTCGTTGCATTCGCGAGATGAAGTCAATCCTCGACACCAACCCATCCGGTACCCCTTGAGATCCAAGCGATGTACGAGCACCATTTTCTAATAGCGTTTGCGCCTATTCACCGCGTTGGTGCAGGGCTATGGTTCGAACTCCACGCTGATTGCATCCGTGTATGCGCTGGACGCGCTCGGTGCTGCTTCTCGGGCCACGTTTGGCGTAACCGTGTCGGCCTACGAAGGCGGCATTGAGGAGCTGAGCGCCTTGGTAGAGGCAGTCGCCACGGAGGCCTTGGCTGCGGGTGATACCGACACCGTAATGCAGGTCGGCAGTGTGGGCCAAAGCTTTGCCACGGTGCCCTTCTGCGTCTAACCAAATTCCGTACAACCTTTTGAAGACTCCAGAGGTTTTCCAGAACTTCAGTTCTCGTTTTGAGAATGGCGCAATGCCACTTGGCGCAGTATTCGTTGAGAGGATGGCGCTCTCAAGGTGTCCCATCTTGTACCACGCGTGTAAACTGTTGTTTCGGAGAAGTATACGTATTACTGATTTTTTTTTTTCCCTCGGCACCTTGTGCTACCCTTCTGAGTCCGGACCAAGTGCTGGGCTTGATCTTTCCCGAACCTTTCAATACCAGGTTGTGTCAATGCCGTCGTGACGTGCACTCCACCCCCACGCAGGTTCTTGACGTGGCCAGCTCAAGCCTCAACGCCGCCAATTGTACAGTCGCCCCAGACTGCGCAGCTTTGAACCGCGACGATTGCGGTACAGACGGTCTTCGTGAGGAAAACACCTGCGGGGAGTGCGTCTCGGGATTTGTTGGCGTCGTGGGGCCGCACAACTCGCTGTGTGTAGACACAACAGCATTCGACGCTTCATGCTCAGATGGCGAAAAGGTGAAATGTTGTCTTCATGTCCCACTGAAGCTCAGGAGAATGGGGACGGAGCGGTCGGTGTATATTTAGGGGGTGGATACCGTTGTCCTGCGCGAGGAAGAACACCAAAATGCGTATTTAGCGACGACGTGCATACGTTTTGCCGTTTTCGTAGAGTTGCTTGAGAAACACTGATGTGTACTCCCTCTTCTCTCCTCCCTTGTGGAATTGTGTACTGCTACACACAACGATTGAACCTAACAGAGCGAACTCTAACGGCCGGCTATTGACCAGTCACCCAACAGCACTAGCAAGCAAGCAACTTTGCGCACCACTCCCGTTGTGATGTCCCTGCAACCGATTCCCCTCGCAGAACGGCGATGAGACAGACGTAGACTGCGGTGGTCCGTCCTGCTCCCCCTGCCCCTCGGGCTCGACGTGCTTGGTCGGCACCGACTGCTCCTACAACAACTGTCCCGAACCAGCATCCACGACCTCCGATCCGATATGTGTTCCTCCGGCCAAGGCCTGCCCCAACGACTGCGGCGGGACAGTCCGCGGTACCTGCGAGTACGTGTCCTCCACGTCGGGAGCCGCGCTGAACGCTGCAGACTGCCTCGCAGATACCCCGACTTCCACCTGTCGCGCAACTTGCAACTGTTTCGACGGCTACGGAGGAGACGGTTGTCAGTATTCTGACTCTGAGTTGGAGGCCGCAGTTGAGACCCGGGAGCAGTCGCTGCTATACATACAGGAATCGGCGGAGAGGTTGGATATCAGTCGGGATACCATCTCCAGACAAGCAGTGCTGCTTTCCAAGGTACTTCATGGAAAACACAGGTGTTGAACCAGAGTATTTCACGGAAAGCACAGGTTTTGATACAGAGTGCGCCAGGGCCACGGGTACAGCCTTCATCGGCGTAGGGTATGCCTGTGTGATTGTTGGCATGTCAGTACAGGGGCGGGCTTGGTGCGAGGTTGTCGGTTCGCCTGCTTCGTCGAACTACCCGCGCACGACACCAACATTGCCGGCGTCGATTGCTCAACAATGTGTTTGTTGCTGCTGATGCTGATGGACCCGTGGGTAGAGGATGCTTCCGTAGTCGTGCGACATTGGCCAGCATGATAACAGTATCTACAGAACGTTAGGGATTGTTGCACTATCCCAAAGTAGAGTCTCGGATACAATGATAACGCTCTCCTTGTTCTTTCTCACCATGAACGGCGCTTTTCCTGCCTTCCAAAGTAATACTCACCTCGCCTTCAATCTTGCATGCGCAGCTGTCAGTGATACCCCAAGAAATGAAGGCTTCGTCGGCGACGCTAGTTCTAGATTTGGCGACAGAGACGACACACATGGCTGACGAAAGCGGGGAAGGTGTGGCGAGCACGGCCGCCTTTGCGGTGGTGGAAATTATTGGGCAGGTACGTGGACTATCATTCAGGTGGCCTCCTTTCAGCCCTCCCGTTCCACAGAACTTTGACGTCTACATTTAACGAGGTCGTTACCCAAGGCAGAGCTCGAGCGAACGTACATGGGAGGGGTCGGATGACGAGAAACAGGTACAGCGTAGCTTCGTGTGGGTCCTCTTGCAAACGGTGCACTATTGTCAGAACTAGCGGCAAGAATAGATCATCGTGAGTTGGCACTACAATAGAACGTCCTCACATCAAGGAGCGTTTACCGTTAGCTGAACGCGATGTTTGAACTCCTCTTATCCAACGGAGTTTGCCTTGAAAACAACGTCGGTGTTAGAACTCGGGGTCGCCTTGCTGTCCCGCGCATGTGACTTGCTCCACGTGCTGTTTACCCTTGGCACCAGCGTTGGAAGAGTGTCGCATGCTCGTTAGGCTGCCTACCGTTTCATTCCATTACGGCATGTCGCCCCTGGTCCCATCTCCCAGGTTACGCTGGCATCGTCTTTCCTCGAGGAGGAAAGCAACATGGAAGGGCTATCGGACGTAGTGGGGAGCCTGATTTCATCTCAAGTGGCAGGGAAAGTGGTCGGCGAGGTGGCTGATGAGGTTTCGAGCGACTATTTCAGGCTTTCGACTGGCATTTACGATGCTGCCACCGTCGGGGAGGTTCAGGCAAGAATAGGGAGTTCAATAGTACGAACGCTTCCTTGAACCGACGTGGCGTCCACCCGACCCACTACTCCAGAGCGCGATCCTATGCTACTAAATCTCAACTCTGCATGTTCATCGGACCGAAAACATGGTTGACACCGGGATTCATCCTCCGGGTATCAATGACGCTAGTCCACCCGCGCCGTGTTGCTCGTGTTGTAACAGCGTTTAGGTACGTTGAAAACATCGGACTCAAAGCCAACGGGGACCGAACCTGCCTTCTGTATCTACCCCAACATACACACAAACGCAGATATCGCCACCGTTGACAGCTGACGACGAGAGCGTCGGTAGGTCAGTTTCATCCATCGGCCTGCCTGGCGACGTCGGGGACGCGTTTTCGGACGTGTCGAGTATGTCCTTAGCAGTGGCCGAGTGGATCATTGACCCCAGACAGGTAAGTAGAAGAGGGACTAAAGCCAGTTCCCGCTGGCAGGGCTGGTGTGTCGGTCTAGTGGGCTTAGATTCGATTTGCCCGCACCTTACAAGGGGTATATTGTACACGTGTCAGTGTATGCTGGCGAACTGCAGATCAGTACCACCAGGTACAGTTACATCTCCCAACGGCTTGTGTCCCTCAACGCGTCATCCTTTGTCTACGTGTCTGTCCTTTGCCGTGATAAACCAAGCGTACTTTTATCTTGTGTGCAGAACAACACATTTCGTTTCAGTTTCTCCGTACCAACATGCATACATCCGTGTTGGGTGTGTAGAAGTAATGTAAACGCTCTCCCACAACATCATTATCGTTTTGTTTTGCCGCCGTTCGCGTTCGCCGCCCGTTGTGCGGTCACATTGTCAACGGCCACGTGACCACTAACACCGTAGACTGGCAACACCACCTCCAGCGGCGACAGCAGCAATGAAGTGGTGTCCAGCGTCGTCCGGTTTTATGCCGATCCTATCGAATCGGCCTCATCCCTGTCACGACGCAAACTGAAAGGGTTGAACGGGTTCGGTGGCACGTCAATGCTGACAGAAGAAGAACGATGGCGGGGCCGTCCTAGACGAAGGTCACTACTGGAGGATATTGGATCTCTCGAGGTACAGCAGTATGGTAATCTTTATGTACTGTCTTGTCGAAGAATCAGCCGTACTCGGTAGGACAACCTCTACCCTTGAAGATACGCTCGGAGGGGAATTCTTCTGGCTGTGTAGAACAACGCCGGCCGTGATTCAAGGCCTCTGTGGTCACGGGTCTGCGAGGTTCAAGAGGCTGGTCGGAATCCAGACACAACGACTGACACACGCCATCATGGACACCATATGCCTAGCACGCGTTGACCATGCTCAAACGCCCTTTTATTGGAGAGGTTCATAGCCCACGCCGAGCACGAGACGTGAAACTCATCTTGCACAGACAGAACGTTCATCTGTGCTTTTTGACGTCACCCCGCTTACAGGGTTCCCGACTGCTCTACCCTATCTTGTTCCCACATTCAGATAACGATCCCCAACACAGTCTCCCAACCATGGGACCCCCAGGACATCCTAACGTTCACCCACGTGTGTGAATGGGACTCGACGGAAACCCAGTCGTCGACATGCCCCAATGGCACCGAGATCACCACCGTTTGCATGGGAACAGCTTTGGTAAGATGGGCAGGTCTCGATCGACCAGGGCAGTGATAAAATGGCATTTCTTGATGCGTAATCCTCTCGTCGCGCTACAACATGTAGGCCAAGCTAGGTCGGAAACGAGAATGAGAGGGATAAAGAGACGGCCTGGTCGTCCGCACTCGCAGCGGTTCGTTTCTAATTGTTCGTACACGGCCGGTTCCTGCTTTGGGCTTGGTTGTGGTTGACGTGTTTCCCTATGATGTTTTTGTGACGAGCCATGGTGCCATTACCGTTTGAGGGGCATCCGGGAACATCTCTGTAGAAAAAATGTCTGGTAGACGAACCATTGCCACAGCCGGGAAATCACGAAAACAAGTGTTTGCTGTGTCAAGGTGCCAACTGGAGCTCTCCTACTCTTCACCCCAAAGTGTGCGTTGTCTACAGTGGGCGCTCGGTGGTAAATTTCCTCGTCGAATGACACTTATCGAAGCACCGCAGTAATATTTTCCAATAGCTATTCCACGTGTGCCTTTCTTCAGACAGATATGGCCAAAACGTCAAACAATCGTGAAATGGTTTCGTTTTCGGGGTAAGAGTGGAGCTCGATGTCGAACGATTGATGCCATCAACCGAAAAATAGCGATTTCTGGCGCACGTGAGCACACCGGCCTCCCGAAATAAACCTTAGGCCCACAAGTAACTGAAGGCTTCACTCTCGCATTTATTGCTTGTACACATGTACACAACCTGGATATCCTCAAGACACGGGAGGTGGAGTGTTCTAACAACGGCACCGAGCCGGAGTGTGCCTCTTGGCAGGGATCGGAAGAGTCTTCGTCTGCCGAAAACTGCCAGGTAGGGCAGCAGTTTGCATCACTCTCATGCGATGGTGTCATGTGCAACACCAACCTTGTCCAGGAATAAACGCACCCGTTAGAGTACATCATCCTTAGGACATATTAGGACATATGATGGTCGCGTTAAGTCTAGCATGGTGTGTACTGGAGAGCAATCTATGCTCTTCCTTTTAAAGCATTATTGGTAGTGTCAATCCAGTCGACTCTTGAAATCGGATACATGAAGCACCCTCTTTCTTGCTGGCACCTGCCCCCAAATCGATCAAACTGTGGTATTTCTCTACATAATATATAATATAGTAATGCAACACGTGTTGGTCAAACCGGTTGGGGGGCATCTGCCGTTTACGGGGTAAGCTCACTGAGGCATTCACATGCTTGTATGGGGAACTAACTCCCTTATCGGTCTGATTTCGACCTTTTCGTAGGTCCTCATAGTGTGGGTACCACTCAACACTGCGATGCCGTTGGCAAAACTAGGCGGTACCTCTATCTCGAATGGACTCACTCCTGTAGTCGCCAACGGTTTGTTCCCGGTGTTTATTTCAGGTGTCATCTTTCAATGAATCGTGGACAATATGCCTTTGCAGCTACGCCGCGACCGTAGGAGCTGTGGGTGACGGAACCGGAAGCAACCAGGCAAGTCGAAGGAGAAAGAAGTTTGTTGGTGAAACAGCCATTGTCAGCCATGGCAGCACATCACTCCATATTTCTTATCATATTGTAGTCAATCACCCGACGTCTGAGACCAATTGCTGTTAGTTGAAGGAGCTGACACCCGGAACCATGAAGCACAAGGCCTTCCAGGACACACACCTTGGCGATGCTCAATGAAATTTAACACTCATTCCAAACAACTGAGATACACGCTTCCCTGCCGTTATCGGGGACGTCGGCGCTACCACTATGCAATTAAATTGAATTGACGATCGGACGATCGGTCTCCGATGCCTGTCGTGTAGCGAACGGGCAATACTACGCAACCAAGCGTGCTTCCAACTAACCAAAGGGTTTGCACACTTAGTATGTTGCAGATGCCGTGTCACAGGTTGCCTGGATGTCATGCTTGTTCTCCTTTAGGTTGACTTCGCGTCTACCTTCCTCGACACGGCGGGGGAGTTCATCTCGATCTGGGACGAGGCGACGACTCTCACTTGGACGGAAGTGCAATCAGCGGCACCGATTTTCGCCACCATGGGAGGGATTCTCGCTCTGGCGGTAATCAGTGCGGGGTTCGGGTGGCGACTTGATCAAAAGGTGACGACGGCGCCGAGGGTCACCTTCCCAACTTCCACAATCGAGAATAATAGCGTCCCTGATTGTCGTATGTAACCCTAGTCTTGGTGATATGATACGTTTCATGGAGTGTGCATCATTAGCCACTTCTTAGTGAGAGAGCGGTTTCAACTTTTCACCCGTTACCCAAGAGAATCCATGACACCTCTTGAAATAAAGGATGTAATTCCAACCATACGTACGCGCTGGGTGCTTGGTATGTCAGGGTCAAGTTCCTGTCCTTACCCTCTTCTAACCCCCCTTCCTACACGAAAAAGACGCCATCGTTCACCGCCAATGCTGTCATGTCTCATGTGATGCACCGCCCGCATCACTCGCCAGCTTGAAACTGCCTCCACCAACGCGTTCCGACAGCTTCTCATTCCTTTGTCAATTCTTAGGATAGGGGACGCCCGGCAGGCTGCGGAGCTTGGCTCGCATCGCTGGCATGCTGGTCGAAGGCACCTCCGCCTACCACTGATAATCAGGGCAAGGCGCTCAACGAGAGACGGGCATCTACTCTTCGCGTGCCGAAACGGGGAATGACGCGCGACGAATGTCTCAAGAGTTTGGCGGCTGCGGTACGAGGGGACAACAAGGACAACGTCGACGCCACGGCGTGAGTAACTATTTGCAGAAATACATGTGTGCATACGTGGCCGAACGACCGCCCGTAACTACGGTCTATGCTCGCGTAGAGTTGCTTGCAGATGTTCTTCTACGCGCAATACGCAGTTTAAAGCAATTGTAGATACGGAGGTGACCACACAATATTGCGAAGCGCTACGCTCAATGACATGTCTGTACGAGCTACGTTACTGCCACTGTACCTGGCTGACTACAACGAAGCACGGGTGGACTATTCCATCGACGTAGCTATTCGTTGCCGTGCCCTGTGTGTCATTGCCTTTTGCAGCCCCCACCACCTAGGGGAGAGACGCGTCAGAAAAAGCTTAAAGCTGCTCATCATGATCCACCATGACTTCGTGTCGGTGTTCTACTGCTTCTACGAGTGGTTCACAAGGCCTCAAAGGGTAGCTCTGCTGCTCTGCTCAGTCGTTACGCTTATGGCCACTGAGGCTACGGTTTTCGCCTCAATCATGTTCAAGGTGAATTACCAGGTGTATAAGCAACAACAACGTGTTATGTCGACCCGTGCTGGGAAAAGTTAAGGCTGTACGAGGTTTACGGCAGCGTGTGTGTAGCGGGAGAGCAGCATGGGCAGTCGTGTAATTTGGTATTTCCAATACCTCAACCGGTGAAGACCGCCGTGAACATATATATTGGGAAACTACTCTTTAGTCTGTGCGCCGACCAATGTCAAGACAATGCGGAACCTGTGCTATCCCGCGGAACATATTGCAGGACGATGGAACCTGCGGGGCGTTCGAAAACCTAGCAGATTGCGCGGCGTCGAGCACGGCGAACGTCAACGTCGCAGGTGTGGGTTCGTCTTGCGCGTGGGACGAGGGCTCCAGGACCTGCTACCTTCCCGAGCCGGAAGAGGACATGGAGACCTCTCTCGTCATTTCGACAATCTCGCTGATACTGGCGCTGCCGCTTGAACTGTTTCTCGTGGCCGTGTTTGCGGCTTTCCTCGTCAGACCGACCAAGACGAATGGCGATCGGGCTGGAACTGGGGACATGGAGGCCGAAAGGTGGGAGTTGCGGGAGGAGCTGGTAGCAGTGACTCTCTTGGGGGTGTGTCCAAACACTTGCCAAAACAAGGCTTGAAGGATTGCTGTGCCCTCTGAATGGGATATTTTTCTCTTGGTGTTGAAGCAGTTGTGCTGTGCCTGAACCGAAGGCAGTTGTCGACAGTTCCGATGACGACGAAGATAGGATCCACGCGACCGCCGCCACCGCCGCCGCCGCATCGGTTTGTGGTTCCAAAAATATATCACTCTGGTAGCACGTTCACCCAAGTTGCGGTCACACCCAAGCAGAGGGTTCGGTGGAGCCGCCTCTGTGTCCACACCTATCAACCTTGCCAGATGCCGCACCCTTACAAGGCTTGCCGAAGACGTTGCCGCTGCCACAACTTTGAATTTAGCTCGACTTTATCCAATTCTGTCCCATCGTACTCTTCAATCCTGTTGCCACATCTTGGAAACTGTACGAAACCTGACGCCAGTTCATTCGCCCTGCCAGGTCACTCCTTCTTGCATCATGAATAGCGATTGGTAGACCCAACGATAGGTAGACTATACCCACTACAGCTACAGCCCCAAATGTCACTCCACGTTCTACCGTGCGACCGCAGCCGATGCCAAATGTCGAATTCTGTGGACCATGATTCATACCTACGTAGTGTTTTTGTGAACGGTATCGCAGGGAAGGGAAAGCACCAAACGGGAAAAGTGGAGGGAATGCCATCGCCTCCAGCAAGACCGTCGATCATGTCGAGAAAGATGCGACCAGTGATTTTGAGGTGGGTCACTGCTGCATTCCATTGCCGCAGGGGTGCTAAATCGGTGAGGAAATCGCAAGCTGTTTCTAGATAAACTTGATGGATTGGTGTTTATCTTGTCACTCAGGGAGGCGGCCGCCAGGGATGACAATGGAGGTTGGCGTCACGCAGGAGACATTGCCATCCTGACGGAAAGGAGGGCAGACCAATGGGTGGCAAAGATGCCCGGAGTTGCCCACGAGCACACCAATACCAGGGCTTGGCAGTTTACAAATTAAAAGTGACCTGTACATGCATCCCTTCACGGTAGACGTTGAAATAATGTACAACAGTTTCTACGGTTCTTAGACACTTCAAGGTGAAAAGCGGTATGCCTTATTCGAATATCACTTTTATCACCAGCACAAGATTGACCGCGAGAGCTAAATGAATCGTCCAAGCATTCCCAACAACACGTGTTGGTATGCATGGAAACTTTCGCTTGAATTCTTTCCAACAGGCAAGGCTCACCATCGAGGTTGACCTAGCGAGAGCTGCGGAACACCGGCGGGAGGGCAAGGTAATCTGCTGTACGCTCGTCTGTTGTGTGTTTGTCTTGCGAACAAAGAAAATGTCAACGATTGTCGTGCCTTCCGTGTTACCCACGCGTAGTCTGTGTCATGGCTTGCGGTTTATCGGCTGGGCGGCGCGTTTGGACGAACTGAGGTAGTTCAACACTTTCAAAAGTGTCCCTCAACTAACCCCTTCTTGTCCAGGCCTTTGTGATACCCCCCGCCTGCTTCATGAAACTGAATAGCAGTCAATGTGGGCGTACTTGCTTCTGCGATAATAGAGTTTACCCACGATGGGATAGCTGGGAACTTGTCGGCGACGGCCGAACTACTGCGCCGACACGTGTACGCCAAAAGCTCTTGCAGACACTCAATCTCGATAGAATACTACAAACCACCAAATCACCTGACAGATGACACGTTTTTGGAGGAGTCTCTGCTGCGGGTGCGGATTTTGCGGGGACGGTGCAAAACGCGAAGCTCGCCTGCAAAAAAAGGTTAAGAGGTCTCTGGGAGCCGCGATTACCCTGGAGAAAAAAATCGCGCAGACGGGCGACGTGGATTCGAAGGTATACTGCTTCGTTTAGAGCTAGGATATGCCCAAATTTCACCGCCCAATGACCTATTATCCCTTCAAGAACATACGACGAAGAAATTTTCACGGGAAGGGAAGGCGCCAACCCTCGTCACAAGGCATCATCGTCCTCGGATGCCATGATCCGCCCTTCGTATCCTTTCCCCCTCGCCCTCCAGGAAGCACTCTTGTTCGAGCAAGCGGAGGCGGACTCTCTTAACTACCTCGAGAGGCAGGTATTCTTCAACAGCCGCATCCTTAACTACGGCGAAGAAGACTCTCAGTCCGGCGTGCCGTTGTGCATCAAGTGTCTCGCCTGGCTGTTCATCGTCATGTACGCGGTGGGGCTATCCTTCTACGTGTGTCTTTTTGCCGTCAAGGCCGGGCGCGCAACCTCCGTTCAGTGGATGATTTCCTTCTGGGTTGCGTTTGCCGAGGTGAGCCATGCTCTCGCTCCCGTTCCCCCCCTTCCTGCCAAGGCTATAAACACAGGGGTGCGTGTGTTATTCGGCAGAGCGTTTCGGCCTGGGCATGGTTGGGTTGCTCCCCCACAGCTACAAGCAAAACGGGCAACATTGTGAGATGAAAACCAAAGGTGGCTAGTAGAGAAAGATACACTCACTTCGACGAACACATGCCCAACTGTGATGCCCATTCGGTGCTTTTCACAGCATAACAAAATAGCCATGGGCGAATTTCGCTCCCTTCATTGCGATATCCGACGAATCTGTCAGTTTCCTCTACCCTCGTGGGCCTGGGGAGAAAAAAAACTTACCACTTGACGGGCACGGCACTGCGGTCTTCCACGAGTATCATGTACCCGCACTTGCCCGAAACCTCTCAAAGGGTGTGAAACCTTGCCCCGCATACAATAACCGCCCACTGTTTGCCGCATTTCACGAAATCGCTTTTTGGACGTCAGGATATTTTCCTCCTGGTTCCTCTCAAGCTCGCTTTTGTCTACCTTTTCTTGCCGAGCTTGATGCGCCATCGCATGCGTTCGGACATGTTCACGAGGATCCCGAGGCACGCCACTAGCGTACAGGTTGCACGACGCCACCCGAACATGGAGGTAACCACACATATGTTCACCGTTGCTTTTACTGACGACAATATGTTTGCCGGGGCGAATGGGGTTGGTTTGATTCATGCAACTGTCTTGTGGTCACAGAAACGGTTGATGGCAGGATAAAAGACCTTCTCAGGCTTCGACGCCTCAGGATGTCGAACACTGCAATCCGAGAAACCTCCTTCAACACGTGCGAGTGATGAGATCGCGGCAGAGCGGCCGAATCGCATCGAAACCGTGCCGCCACGAAAGACTTTTGTCACATCAACATTCACGTGGACAACCAGCCGAGTGCTGAGCGTGTGTACCTTGACGCTGCATCCGTGGCGCTCAGGTGTCGGGTCTAATCCTTCAAGGGCGTATTCCCAATGGCAACGAATTCGAGAAGTTCATCCCGCTCTTCACCGCACGATCGCGCTGGTACACGTGCATGACGGGTTTGGTGTTCACCGTTCTGGCCATCATCATGCTCCTGCCGGATACCCTCCAGGCAATGGTACGGTTCTACAGTAGTGTACAGCATGTGAACACGACAGCTGAGCTGGGCTTTTTGGGAGCCAATCAGACTTCGTTGGTAAAACATCCTGAACGTTAGAAGAAGTGGTCTGACGCCAGTTGCGCTCTTGTTTCAGCCGAACAGCGAGTGGCTCCACCATTGAAGAACTTTGATACATCACCGCGTAGAGACCGATACATCCTTCCCTTCCCTCGATAGAGACAACGTGTCCTCCCAACGTAGTGGGCTCCCTGATTTGGTGGCTGAGAGCCGAATAACAAGTACAACCTTTGACCGAAGATCCAAAGGTGCTGCGCTCACCTTCGGCAAACTAGGTGCTGGATATGCTGATCGCCGTCATGGTTGGAGGAGGCGTCCTCGCGCTCGCCAAGCTTTTCCCATTGTCCTTCTGGGGCTTTGTCAGCTTTATTGTGGTGGCGGTGGTGATCATGATCGTCCTCTGGACCAACCACAAAAGAACGGCAAGTGCATACTACACAAAGCACGAAACGGATTCCACAGCCGCAGCCCTTTCCATGAACACATAGTGATCATGGGATACAGCGTCTCTCTTGCTATTTGTTTGATTGTATTCGAATGGAGTGTGCAGGTATCACCTGTGCCTTGCTCGTCGCTGCCCACACAGCATGGCAGATGTGAATGCATCCTGGCCTAGAAGCGGAGAAAATATATTGGCGAGTTCACCGTCTTCATTGATCGGGGATGTAGTCTAAGGTTCTTGTTTGAAGTATAATTTTCTTGGCCTCGCGAGTCTGCTGCAGTGGGAGCTTTCAGAAAAATTCGAAAGGTCTTCGGCAGTCACCTAGCCCCCATTAGGTTTTCGTCTTGAGCGGATTGTCAGCTCCCCGACCGATCAGCAACTTGGAGTCGCGAAACATAAGGGCACCCTGACTGATAAACGTCGATGGAAACTATGCATTAAATATCGCGTATGCCCTCATCGACCATCTTGCGGTCGTGCATGGACAGGCAACCTTTCGATCACTCTCTCCCTTTTTCGATTGTTCAGATGAAGAAGGAGAAAAAGCTGCGGAAAGCGCGCGTCACCCAAGGCGGATACTCTAGTGGAAACGGAACGTTCAGCGGAGTCAACGTATTGGCCCGAGGCAGGACCGCGGGGGGTCGGACGCCAAACTTCAACACACCCTCTCCAGGCTTGAACATTGTCGCCGGGAACGCCGGCTTCCAATCAGACCAGCGAAGTCCCACCATGAACACAGCGTCTCTCGCGCGATGGGTCAGCGCTGTCAAGCCAGGTTCTGTCCAACGCCCTCAAGTCGATCAGCAGACAAAATCGCCGCCACGCCCTCCCCGCGCCAACCACGGCAGGACAAACTCGTTAGCGTCCATTGGGATGATTTCGGAAGCCGGATCGCGATGGGACCACCACGGCCGCCTTGACTCCTGCGCGGCGTCCGCTTGGGGCGAAGTTCACGTTAGCGACGTGGAGTCCTCCGTAAATGAGGGCGGTGGCAACGGCGACGATGAATCTTCCGTGGGGACGGGACCCCGGCTCCACGGCCGCGACCATTCCGGGGGTAGTTGGAACTTGCAGCAAAATGAATGGGACGGCCTAGGGAACACGTTGAGCTTGCAGAATAGCGTCGATCTAGGCACCACAGCTTCCTTCACTTTCTTCGATGATCTTGGGGACCCTTCCCACCGAGCCAATGTCCACTCCAGAAGCCTCCGCGGAAACTCCTACGAAGACGATGAAGAAAGCAAATCGCCTGAACGATCTCCGGGATCCATCGCCGTAGTCAGGGCGGCGGGGCGAACTTCTTCATCATCGCGGTTCGACGACTCGAGGCGGCAGGTCCAGGCGGCGGCGCATGGGGACTGTGATGGGGATGCGTCTCCGAAGTCAAATTAGTCAGGTAATACCTATCGGTGTCTACCAAAACAAACGTAACGATGACAAAATGGTATGTATGTAGGTCCGTCCTTCCCTCCATATCTGGCGTGGTGTTTCGTGTCATTGGCCAGCCCTGATTGCCACACCTTGCCGTTGTAGAATCCGCACTCCTGTCTTGCTCCGACCCGAAAGTTGAGCCACACACAACGATACACCCCCTGGACCGTTTTTCATAGCTCGATTACTCCACGACGAAGAGGATGCATAAACGAAACGATACATTTTCGAAAAGCTCTCGACGAGACGGTTTCAGCGCTGCCGTTTTCGGCGCTGTGACTGTTCCGGCAGTTGAGAAATCGAGCTTCGAAAATCGGTCAAGGGGGCGTGTTATCTTGTGTCATATACGGTAGTGCATGACATTCGATAACTGACCGAACGAAACGAAGCCTGAGCAAAATGTCCTTGCACTCATTCATACGACGCTGGGGCATTCATCGTCGAATTTTCTTTTTTTTATTTCGACCGGGGAGACTACAACACCCGCTAGACTACGCACATAGTCCAGTCCCTGGAGAAAAGTTGAACTAGTCGTTTAGGGCCCGCCCGTGTTTTTTAGCTATCGCGATCATCTACAGTGAGTCAAGTCATCTCGGATATGCCTCGATTTCTTCCGGTTGCAACCTCGCTACTCTCGACCATATCTCCAAACTCCCCCCGCTCTGTTCCCAGGTAGCGTCGTAGCCTGCGTCCTTTGCCATTCGCAGACAATCCATATTCCATCTGCCGCGTCGTGGCCATGCGAAAAACATGCTTTGAAAAGCAGAACCCCCTTTGGACGCCCACCGTGTTCGTAACAAGTAGTAAGTACACCGCCATTCCGATCCTTTATGCTCCGCCCTTGCCTCTCACTCCTTCACCGTGTTGCCGTCAGGCGGGACGAGGGATGAGACTTTTGGGAACGACCAAGCTTCCCGAGCCCAATCCGGCTCAACCTCGGGGTTCTCGTATGCCCAGGATGAGGAAGTAACTACGAAGGGCTGGTTGTTCTCCGAAGCGGTGTTCATGTCGTAAATGTTTACCGTGGTCGGTAACCAGACTCCACGGCACAATACAGTAATTTGTGGGCGGCAATTGGCCACGACGACACAGTACAGTAATGTCTGGGTGGTAACTGGTTACCACGATGAATTTCGTATAGTGAATTAGTCATCACGGTAGGTAATATTTACTCCGGTGACCAGCCAACACCGTAATAGGTGTGGTAATACGTTTGTTTGATTTCACGATAACTGGCCACCACGCACGGTAATATTTGTACGGTGTAGTAGTCGGTCACCACGGAAATGTTACCGTAAGTGACACCAGATAGCGCACTCACAGAAGATACACATCCCCAGCACACCTCTCTCTCCAGGAAAGCACACCCTGCGATGCTTTTAGCTATGTCTTACTCAGTAAAAGACGCCAAATGATCACACCGGTGACACAAGACAGCACACCCCATCCATACAGCTACGCCCATACCAATCACGGACCCCCCATTATCACGAATTGAATGGTGGCTAGTGGCTCATGACCCGGCTGTGCACCGTGCACAGCCCGATGTGCACACCCACGAACAGAGGCCAACAGCTCGTGTGCACATAAACAAGGACAAAATGGAGATGGAGGAGGTAGACAACCCTCACCTCCTGGAAACAACCCTGCAGGAAGTGACGTGGCTCCGACGGTGACATCAAAGGCCTGCGCGGGCGCCTTCACCGGCGATCACGTCATTGTTCTCCAAGCAACCCGCCGCCAAGCTAAAGGATGAGACTCTATGAGCACCTGCCACCGCAAGTGCTGCCAAAGCCCGCTCATTAGCGTCCGCAGAAGCCCGCACAACATCGCGTCGGTTGTGTGAGGACCGCACAACAGAGGGTCTGCTTCAAATGTTATCATCCCCCCTTCATTTATCGCCCCCCTTCAAGGAATGGTTGAGAAGGAAATTTACTGTATGTATGTATTTGGTGTGTTGTTATCCCAAACCCTTATCAGACCCCCTTGACTAATCACACCCCCTCGTCGCGGGCTCTGTCATCGTGCACTTTGTCACACCGGTGACACAAGATAAAATAACAACAGCACACCCATTCCACCCAGGCACACCCGGTGATAAGTTTCTCAAACTCCAATAGTATGACCAGGGTGTGCTTTCTTGTGTCAATACATACGTTTGTTCACGGTAACCAGCCAACATCGTAGGGCACGGTATACTTTTGTATGGTATTTGGTCGCCACGGAAATGTTTATTCGGAAACCAGGCAGCCAAAACCGTAAGGTACGGTATTTCGTTTGTTTTTATAAACGGCGTTTTAGTAATTATTGTGCGGTATAGTTGGTCACCATGACGATATAGTCTGTAATCCCCAAACCTGAAAAATATTTAATTAAAATCACCCCCCCCATATATTAAATTGTGGTCTCCGTACCTTCCGGATGAATTCCACCTTCTTTCCGAGGCCCACACCTGCCCCCCCCCCCCCCCCCCCCCCCCCCCCCCCCCCCCCNCCCCCCCCCCCGTCAAATTCTCCTTCATCAAGCAAGACTCTCCTTCCCCGTGGTTTTCCGAAACGCCGCCCCTGCACAGGCTGCCTGTTTTGTCTTCCTGCTGACGTAGTTGGAGGAAAACGTTAACGTTTAGCCCATTACATACTGCTGTTTCCCCATGAAAGACATGCGCGGCATTTTTGTTCTTCTCTTTTGAGTAAATGCGTGTGTGTGTTTATTGGACGGTAACCAACCGACAACACCGTACGGCATGTTGATCCGTTTTTTACCGTAATTGACCCAGACGGTATTCTTTGTACGGTAATTGGTTGCCACAGTAGTGTGTACCAGTAGCCGGTAACCAGCCAACAGCACCAGTGTGACAAATTAAATCCTGGTCTCCGTTGGAAGCGACGCGCTGCAAAGCTCGTTGTTATTATAATAGTAAACCATAATCGACTTCATAAGTCGCGAGGGAAGGGATTGTACCCTTCTCGCGATAGAAATATCTCAGGCAGGAACCGCAGGAGGGGGTCCAACCCCCTCCTCCAATGGGGCCCCGGTTGGGTCGTCTAGGTGGCCAGAGGGGCAGACGATAGAATCCAATGATGGGAGAAAAACAATAAAAAAACATTGATTGGCTGCACCGTGTTATCCCATATCATCAGGACACTGGTGTGCAAAGCGTATACCTGGAATACCGAGTCTTGGTACAAGCTGCTCGCTCCCTTCTTCGGAAGAGGTCGTGCAATCACCTCCGCTACACAGAGCTGCTTGTGGGTTCATGTGCGAGATTCCTCTAGTGAGCACAATACGCTAGAAGCTTTGTGCAGCAGCAGTGGGAAGCAGAACGGGCGCTGCATGATGCGTGCTACATGACGGGGTGTGGAAATTGATGAGCGTTTCAGGAAAGGACCGTCGACAACAAGTCAACATGCTCCACCGTATCAGTAACGCAGGAACCGGTTATCGCCCCACAGCAAGCGATAGCTGCTCAAACAACAGTGGGATTAAGGGTCAACGTGAAAAAAAAATCAAGACACAATACATCGGCCCACTAATCGAAACCCGGGGTCCGTGGTGGTGGGGGGAACTCTAATTTCTATATACTTTTGTAAGGGGCACCGCGGATAGAAAACCCTCTGCAGTAGGGGAGTCAATGACATATCTCGTAGACGAAGCCTATACAAGACAGAAATCGAAATTGCCCTCCAGCGGGGGGGGGGGGGGGCCCA